TATCATAAAAAGATATCAATATTGAAACATTAATTGATTTCGGATTATATTTATTTACATGTATGAAAATATACATTATAATCAGTATCATAACACCTTAACAATAAAGGTGCTACACCTAATAGTACTGGAATAAAGATAACCAAACCTGAATGTATGAGTAAAATATGGATGAATAAAGTTGGGAATGTGAATAACAGCACACTACCTGAGTTTAGAACTATGCACATTTCTATCCTTTACAGCATTACAGGTCATTCTATGAAATACATCCATTCCTACACATACTTTCATGACAGCTGAAAAAGCTCTTTAGGACCACGTAAACCACCAATATAGCACATAATTTCGTTTAAGTTGTGGCAACTTTTTTTATCTGTGCTGTTGCATGAAAATCGGTACCAGAAAGGATATTATTCATACTACTGATGCTGTATGGCAATGTACAAACTGAACATAGTAACTGTACAATTTAACAGCATTTTCATAAATAAAACATACATGTATGTCACTAAATGCAGTTCAGCACATATTGAGTAACTGGTCCCAAGGCTGTATACGTACTATCACGCATCACTTCTTTACTTATATTTTACGCATCATACAAATCAACAACATGATCATCATTGGCCTGGAACTTAGTTATGATAATACTGGTATTTGATCAAGTACTGAAAAAATTAAGTACGTACAACAAGTTTGCCTGAAAGCGTAGCCTTTCCTGACATCAAGCGAGCATAAATACCTGTACTGTATGATTTACAGACTAAATAATACATGATGCCCTCTACACAAAAATAGTTACTTATATCCAAAGAAAAGGTATGTTTCGTTATGACTTGAGACAGAATTTAACAGTACAGCTTTTGGTAACTTAATCAATTTAACATTTTTTGCGGTAAAAATTATGTGAATATCAAAATACACTGTCATGGTAATGTTACCAATTTCAAAACTAAAGTTTACCGCTAGAGGTGTTTTCTATATACAATACCATTGATTCCATGTAACACACAATGTTATTGCATCCAATATGGTAAAATCAAGCCTAAGAGCAATACATAAAATTGCAACAATCTCCTCTTCAAGGTAAATTTAACAAATATAAGTTATTAAGTAATTACAAGATGGCTGATTTAAAAAGATTAACTGCAATACCATTTCTAAATGTGGACATTGCCACTTGAGTATTCCCAAGCAATAACATCAAATTCTACAAAGGAACAGGTTTTAACAAAATAAAACTGGCAGTTTCCACAGTAAGCATGAAACAACTTCTTTGTTTCATATTATTAATCTCAGTTTCTACAACTATAAAAATAATTTATGGACTTCCAAGGAACTTACAACAAACAAATGCAGGTAATCATATGATTGGTATAGCACAGTATGCAATATTTAAAACCTGGTGTCTATATAAGGAAAAAAGACTTCTACAAAATAATTGATCCATTCTCTGTTTTCTTAAATGATTTATGTCCAGCT